ACTGCCTTGAGTGTCGAATGGAACTCAGGGTTCATCAGGTGGCCTCGGCGCGGAGGCGGCGGGGGCGGCGGCTGAGGGCGGCGGAGGCGCCGTCGGCAGTGGTGCTGCCGCCGCGTCGCCGCTCGGCCTAGATGGTCACTGGCGACGCATGCACGGCGGTGCTATGCGGTGGCGGAAGAAGGCGGCGACACGAAAGGGGAGAGGAGGCGCGAGCGGCAAGGGCAGCGACTCGGGATGGTTGCTCGGGACACGGGAAGGGCGACAGCGACGAGAATCGAGGGGGAGAAGGGCCGACGGCGGAGCGTGACTACTCAGCGGCGGTGGGAGGGGAGGCACGGCGCGGGAGCTAGTGGGGAGGCCGGCGGCCAAGGCGGCGGGTTGGGGTGGTTCAAGGGAACTCCAGGAGGGTGGTGGCGCGAGGAATCGACGAGGAAGACCACGGCGGTGCACAATCGAGCGCGGCGGCGGTGAAACAGAGCAAAAGGGGAAACGACGGCGCACAATCGAGCGCGGCGACGTCGGACAGTGACGCGGAGGCAGCGGCTGAGGGCGGCGGGGGTGGTGGCGAAGGGTGGCGGAGGTGCCGCCGGTGGTGGTGCGGCCGCCGCGGCGCCGCTCGGCCTAGACAGCGGCTGAGGGCGGCGGCCTCGGCGCGGAGCTGCGGCGGCGTCGAGCAGTGACGCGGAGGCGGCGGCTGAGGGCGGCGGGGGCGGCTACCTCGACGTCGTCCATCCTTCCTGGTCGCGGGGGCGCCGCCGTCCTCCCTATCCCCTCCTCCTCGTCTAGGCCGATCGGCGACGCGGCGGCAGCACCACCACCGGCGGCGCCTCCGCCTCCCTCAGCTGCCGCCCCTGCCACCGCCACCGCCACCACCACCTTCGCACTGAGGCCGCCGCCCTCAGCCGCTGCCCCAGCCTGCCGCTGACCGTGAGAGAGAGAGGAAGAGTGAGGAGAGTGAGAGAGAGTGTGTGTATGACAGGTGGGCCCCACATTTTTTTAAATATAGAATGCTGACTGGACTGCCACGTGTACGCCACGTAGACCAAAACCACTGTAGATTGGGTCCAGGGGGGTAATTCGTCCGGTTTGTATAGTTGAGGGTGAAGAATGTCCGGTTTTATGGTTTTGGGGGGTAATTCAGACGACCGCGATAGTTCGGGGGGTAATTCGTACTTTTTCCGAAAAGTTATGCCTGGGACTTCAAATTTTACTGCCCAGCCATCCGTCTTAAAATAAAATATAAAATTTAGTACTAAATAAGATACGTTTTAATATATAGTATTGGGATATATCTTATTTAATGCTAGGTTATTATATTTTGAGACGGAGAGATAATATGATTTAATTTTAAAAGTAATAGGAATCATTTCATCAATTTTGTGGCTCATATTTGATCTTATTTTCTAGGAGTAGAAGTTGGCTAAGGACCTGCAGTTCGAACTAGTGTTTTTGTTAACTAAAATGATAGTTCATGAAACAAGCCAAGTCATTAATGCAGAATTGATTAAGCATTAATTATTATAAACTTAAAAAACATATCTATCTAAATTTTTGAAGAAACTTTATATAAAATGATTTTAAAAGTGTATCATTTAACAATTTAGAAAATATGTCAAATAAGTTATAAAAGCCAAATGCCCTGTACAATTCAGCCTAAGGTTTATAATACATCGATCGAAAAATCCCCCTCCCCACTTAATATATTAGTTGCTTGCAATTTTTGATGTGAAAAGTTAATACAAACTGCTGATGTCTAAACCAATTATTCAGGCCCTGCTGTGTATTGGAGTACTGCATATTTCTACTAGAACAATACCGGGGTTGGACCGTTTGAGTACTTTTTAGACTGATGCGTGCATTACATCATTTTAAGAATTGGATTTCAAAGAATGTTGCTTTTATGTTGGAATCCAAATCGCATACGTTTCACGATAAGTACAGAGTATCATTATACAATATTTAGTGATTTTAAAATGGTATGGTTTTATATCTCCACTAGAGAATCGTCGCGCCAATTGGCACGCTCTTTTTAGGCTGTGCTTACGTGTATGGACATATATATTTTAAAATATTTCGCAGGATTAGGCCAACTTCAATAAGTTGTTCATTTAACTCAGAATATAGCAATTGAGTATCTACTCACTTATCTCAACCGATCATACCCCTCTTATTTAATTTCTCTACTTACACGCCTAATTTATTAACACCTATACCCAACTTCGACCAATTTTATAGACATTATAATGACAAAGCATTTCTCACTAAAATATAACTAACAAAAAAAATACCAATTAAATACCCTCGAAAACGTTATTTCTAGCCATTCTCATGCATTTTTGTAGTGGGGAGAAATACTTATGATGTCCTTATCAATTTGTAAATCCAATTAAATATGTATATCTTTGTTTGATTGGCTAGAAAAATGTTTTCCTAAAGGGTTACGTAACAAACCTTTTATTATTTCATTGTTTCTTTTTACATGACACCTCCTGCTACTAGATTCTAGAGAGAATCTAGTATATGCCACTGATCTTGTCCCACGTCTACGATTTACTATCGTTTGTCACGTTCTACAATATACCATCGACTTTTGTTTAACTTCTACGATTTACCATTGCCGTCCGGTTAGCCTTTATTAGGACTGTACAATTTTGTCCAAATGAGCAAAATACCCTAGGACAAAAACTTCCTAAATTTGGATAAAAATTTAAAAATATCATATTATAACATCCAAAATTTTGCCAAAACAAAATATGATAGTTCAGAATGTTTATCCAATTTTTATCTACCGCGACAACCTATCAGCCACCGCCGCTGGGATAGGAATCCATTTTTCTTGCGATTTGTTTCTGGGATTTTTCTTGGATAATCTAGACTCCTCTAGCATCACACGTTTTGTAAAAAAACCCTCTAGGAACTTGCATTTACATTTAGGTCCGCCAGATTTTTTTTCACCGCTGATATTTCATCAAACGACTGTGAAAGGGTTGCAAATACGTGGCGCGTTCTTGGGCCGAGAATTCCGACGGAGCGCAATGAGTGGTGACACGTGGCTCAATTAGAGGCCCGAGATTAGACCTTGAAATCGGTTTATAAGATTCTTTATTAAAGTTCTATGATCGGGTCCTAGTTTGTTCATTTATAGAAGATGTATGATCATCCCATTAATACTATGGCGGACTAAACATGGTACGTTTTCACAATTTATGCGCAATGAGACGCGCACTATTTATTTATTTAAAAATGATAGGATACATTTATTGTATTTTTTATATCTTCGTCCTTTATTAAATGTTCTATGAGGCATAGTTTTTCATTTATAGAAGATATACGATCCTCTCATTAATATTATGTTAGATACACATGGTTTGTCGCAATTTATGCACATTGAGCCATGCATTACTTTATATTTTGAGATTGTAGGACGCAATTATTGTATTTTTCGGATCTCCGGCCATTCTTCATTAAATGTTCTATAAGACGAAATTTTACATTTAATAGAGAAGATGTATGATTACACATGGATTATCATAATTTATGCACAATGAGCCTTGTATTTGTTTTTTATTTTAAAGTACCAGGATATATTTATTTGTTTGTCTAGATCTCTTTCTTTACTAAATGATCTACGATTGATATTTTTACATAATATGCATATTACATTTTATAGAATATGTATGGCACTCACATTAATTCCATGATAGAATACACATGGTTTGTCGCAATTTATGTGCAAAGAAACATGTGTCAGGGTTATGGATACCACATACCTAATAGTAGTCGACTAAATCTCGGCAGGACCCACCATATACCATGTCCTATACGGAAACAACTTGCGGATATAGGAGGAGTTCCGGATAAGGAAAGACAACCAGAGTTCTAAATGGAAACGACAAGGACTACTCGGATTATATCCATATTGGTTTCTCTAGTTCTACTTGGACAAGTGGACACCTATGGTTATAAATACAAGGCCCACCATAGAAGACACGGAATAATAGATCAAGTCACAAGATCAACATACAAGCCAACATACGCCAAGACAAGCCGTCGGATATCGACATCAGAGATATGCCTAGATCGACCCTATCCGGTACCTACAGAGGCCGGCCGTAGGGATCTAGCGTTGTCTCTGATCTCGCCGGACACGAACTCGAGGAGGAAGACTACCCTGTTGTCGACTACGAGTCAGACCTTCAGACCGCCATGTCGACAACAGTTAGATAGGCTACCCCAAATATTGTACTGGTGCGATTATGGTGAATAAGAGCAATACCGGCTTCGGCTAACAGGATGTAGGGTTATTACCTGACAATTCAGGGGCCCGAACCTGTATAAAAATCCCCTGTCTCCATCTTTTTACCTCAGTCTCGCATATATCCTAGTACCAACGATCCCCATACTATACAAATACCGGAATCGCGACATCAAACGTCGACAACATGTATTATTTATTTGTTTTAAATGCCAAGACATATTTATTGTATTTTTCGATCTCTTTTAATTTATTTATTTTACATTTATAGAATATGTATTATCCTCACAATAGTGCTATGGCATATTACAATTGATTTATCGTGATTTATGCACGTTAATGCTATCTTCGCTTCTATGGAGTACTTACCATCGCTCATCACTAATCAGTAGTACTAAGTACATTCGGACTTTTTAATTAAAATAAAAAAAAAGACCTCTGTGGCTGGAGTATTTGTTTTTCTTGTTTAGAAGTAACAATTTGGAGGTTTTATCATTGCTTATGCCTCCAAAATTTTATTTTCAGCCTTCGGAGAACCAAATGTAATGGTATATATGAAACTTTACCATTTTTCCACCTAAGAAAATGACAACTTACCATTACCAAATAGGAAAAAACAATCAAAGCGAGAGAACTACCTGAAAATTTTGGCATTTGGTAGGAAAAAAATGTTTTTTTATTTCTTCCTTTGTTTTTGTAAAGAAAGAAATGAAGTCCATCATCTTCGTCAGAGGTTTGCTCCGGTCCATCACATTTCCGATGCACAATAACAGCAGTCGCCATTCCCTATATAAACCTGTCCCGAGAAACAGAATCTCTACTTCTCTCTCCCCTCCCGTCTTCTTTGCTCAAATAGCCATCGCGAGTCTCGCGAACTTCCCCAGCTGCCTCAAAGCCGGAGGAGCTCGCCGCCCACTCCATGCCTCGCGTGCTCCCCGCGGAGCCGGCGGCGACCAAGGCGGCGTTGGCTCGCGGTTTCTGACGAGCTCGCGGGCGCGGAGGCGGGGCGGTCGGCGACTCGGCGGCATCCCCTCCCTCCCTACGCTGCAACCGCAACAAGTAAGCCCGATCGATCGCTGCTCCTGCCTGTTTCAGTGTTTCTGCTCCGGTTAAAATTCAGAAAGTTCACGGGAAATGCATTGCGAATTTTAACTGTACAGATGTTTCGTTTAGTCCTATCTAGAAACTTTTTTTTTTAACGGTTCGACCGCGACGACGTTTTTGTCTCAAATGAAAACGAAACGACGTTTTTAGTGGAGAGACTACAGCAAAATTTCCAATGTTCAGAACTAGGACCAGGAGGATACTCTAGTCTATAGCTATAGCTGCCATAAACGCAGATGATTTTGAGAAACGTGGCCCATGCACCACCACCACCACCGCGCCATAGCTAAACAACAAGACAACGTAACTCAGCTAGCTGCAGTTTCACTTTCACAGTAGGAGGAGGAAGGAAGCAAGGAACGCGAGAAAGAGGCCACAGCACATGCAGCTTCTTAAATACACAGTACCAACTAAAGTGTCGCAACAGTGCTCGTAGTATTATTGCAACGCAGCTAGTAGCCGAGAGCAGCGGTGTGTACCTCGACGTGTGTGACATGACATCCTAGGAAGAGATCTCTAGCCGCGCGCTGCCCGGCCTGAACAATGGCAGGATCGTCGGCAGTGCAGCGGCGCCGCTGCAACGCTACTAGCTACTCCTCCTCGCTGACACGAAGCATCAGCTTCGTTTACTACTTGTCATTAATAAAAATCTCGATAGCAGCAAGGTTTGGTTGAGTTGAGCTCATCCGGTGTCTTCTGACTTCCATGGTCAGCTTGCTCGCGTAATCTCGTCCGTTTTCTAATGCCTCTAGAGTCCAATGGAAATATGGAATCTTGCCCTTTGTTTACGTCAGTAGTTGCTGTAGCTCTATCTGGCCCCTTCGTCAGGACAAAAGGCCACTGTCTCTAACATATTAAAATTCAAACGGCTTCGAAATGTTTACAAGTAGGTATACTTGCATTGGTTTCAATTTTAAAAAGGATCAAAAATATAGTTGGCGTATGAATGCTTCACCACTCATTTTTTTTCTGTTACTATAAGGAGTGGCATTCCTGTCCGTGCACGGGTCATGCAGTTCCAAATACTATTAATTAGCTCATTAACGTGTATTAGAACGCAAGAAGCCGAGATCGGCGCGCGGCTTTTGCTGTTCTTGTTATAACGGTTGCAGTAAAATTATTGGAGCTTTTGATGATAAACACGGCTTCTTTCCACATAGAAAGCTACTGAATTTCCCACTAAAACGAAGCGTTCATCAAACAATCACCTGTGTGGACCAAAGCAATAATAGCATCGTCTCTTAACTAATGCCATTAAAATTTAGGCCCAATTCGCTTTTGCTTAACCACCGAATGTACATTAAACATCAAATGAAGCGTGCAACTTGGTCGCCGCAACAAATACAATCATCGCCATGCCGTCCAAGCTATGGGTATCTATAGATACAATTATTTGGGGGACAAGGGCTCGGCATGTTTTTGCGCTGCTGTGTATTTAATTCTAGTCCGATGTGCAACAGAGTGGGATTGATGGCGACCCAAGATCAGTTTGTTTACAGCCAATCTTGTTTAACCTTAGGTGTACTTTGGTCACGCATAGCTTGTGCCCTGTTCTAAAGGACACGTGTAATGGTATCGATCACTACCCTGGTTTGAATTATGCCTTCTTTGTAAGCAGTGATCCTTTTGGAAAATTTGTAGGAACTAGTTCGATATTGGTAAATAATACTCGTAAGTACAACAATTTTGCAATTCAAATAGGACCTAAGAGTAAGACTCGTAAGTTTTATTTTTGGTCTGGTCCCCTTGTTACTATGAATCTTCTACGGAGTACACATTTTTTGTGTGGAGCCTACAGACAATTCCCAACATGATCAGATATTCAGGTTCCTTCTTCTCTGACATGTTCTATCCATACCACTCAGGCACCTTCCTCTCCACTCTCCAGCTATCTTCCCCTCAACAATTAATATTCAGTCCATTGATTAGAGAACACACATACACACACACAAAAAAAAAATCAGATATCTTCCCCCACGTAGCTAACTCGATTCATTGTCCAATAATGAATCAGCCGGCGAAAACCCCCAAAAAAGAAAGAGAGAATAAAATGAAAGGAACGCAAAAGAAACCTATAGGTAATCATCTGAAGTAGCTGTCGCTAGAAATCTGTATCAACCACACCATGGGGGGAGCAGGGCCCTCTTGCCTTTCGATCGACACGCATCGGTCTCTGCCAAGTAAAAACGTCGCCAAAGGCCAGCAGCGACGGCAGGGTCGCGGGACCGACGCGTCAGATGCCTCGTCCGGCCGTGATGGCTGCTACAGTTTCCGCTCGTACCCGTCCTACGTGTCCGCACAGTAGCTCAACCCACAACGCAATGAAATGAAGCAGCATTGTAGTGGTAGTAATATTTTTTACTGTTTAGTGGATTATATGTTGCTGCGACTGTGAGCAATTTACTTCGGTAGTAGTAACTGTGATGGTTGCTTGCTTGTTGTTTGGTCATGGTGATGGTGGTGTGCTTGGTCTACTTGGAGGTTTAGGCCACTCTTTGATGGCTTCAAATCTGCCAAACCTTCTATTTAAGGTGTCCGTGTGCATTTACTTGCATGTGTCCATGTCCAGTCCTTTGGTTTTGCAACATGTGGTGGCCGCCTGCGTTGCCAGTTCGCCAATTGGGCCCAAAAAAAAAAGGAAAAAAACGTCACCTTTTTTTCACGTTTCGCCTCACGGCCCTCACCGGGAAGCGGTAGTGATGGCGGTGGCGCCGCGCAGGCCATGACCATTTCCCTGACCGGATTGTCGTTAAGGGCTCTTCTCTTATTGTTGTTATTATTATCGTTCAAAAATGGACAGGCTGCAGCAGCAGCGGCGGCGGCATGAGGCGCTGACCGGGCGGCGCCGTGGTGGTGGCGGAGGGATGTCGCGGCGGCACGGCCGGTTCCGGTTCGCCACCGGCGGCGGCGACGGCGACGGCGACGAGGAATGCGCTGGCGTGGCGGTGGTGGACCAGGCGGACTGCACGGCGCAGTCGTGCCGGTCGTGCGTGGCGGTGTCGCTGGCGGACTGCATCGCGCTCGGGTGCTGCCCGTGCGCGGTGGTGAGCCTGCTCGGGCTGGCGTTCGTCAAGCTCCCGCTGGCGGTGGCGCGGCGGTGCGCGCGCCGGCTGCGGCGGCGGCAGGGGAGGCTGCGGCAGAAGAAGCGGGTGCGCGACCTGGACGCCGCGAAGAACGCGGCGGGCGGGGGGCACCAGGAGCCGCTCCCCGGCGGCGCGGCGGCCGCGTCGAAAGGCGAGGACGGCGACGTCGTGGTGGTCGCCGCCGCCGCCGCCGCGTCCCCCGGCAGCGACGACGCGGAGAACGTGTGGCTGGAGTTGTACCAGGTGGGCCGCTGGGGCTTCGGCCGCCTGTCCGTCTCGGCGGCGAACCCGCCCGTCAGGCCGTCCTACGTGGTGGCCACCGCCCGCAACGCCGACTGCGCCGCCGACGGCGACGTCTCTTGACCGTCGAGACAACCAATGCCAGCCCCGTGCCGTCGAATCGACGCCATTTGCTGCTCCCCCAGCTCGATCAATTCTCCCGTGCGATTTGTCGCCGCGCTGGGCGAACGCAAGTACAACCTGTGAGCTGTATGCCATGGTCCAAGTAGAAATTGGTCGGCGACGTTCGAGAGAGCGGCATGAGTGATTGACTCGAACTTCGAAGGACTTGAGTTCATGATTTCTCTCTCTCTTCTCCTTTTTTGAAGGAAATCTTCTTCCTTTTTGTTGTTCAGGGAGCTCGAAGTGTACTCACAAGTGTAGATAATTTGTGCCGTCGAGCTCCTTCCTCCATCCAAGCATAATGCCGTCTTCGGTGATCGCTCTGTACATACCACCATTTCTCAGATAAATTTTATCTGCGTGATAAGAGTGTGGCATTGCGCTCCAACTTTGGCTCAGTACTATGTTAATGGATGTCAGTTCTGTATCTGCATTGCCAGCGCCTGCGCTCGCCACCGACGCGGCCTTCCTGCGCCTGCGAGGCTGCAACTGCGCACTGCAGGCATTTGCAAATGGCAAAAACTAAGAGCAAGTTTAATAGTATAGCCCACTACTGGCTCCAATTCATCTATAACTAATCTAATAGCTCATTTATACAATAGTTACATACTACACTATTAATATCTGGTCTCACCTGTCATACACACGCTGCGTCTTAGAGTCCGTGCTACATGTGGCTACAAATCTGTAGCCCGCTGCCCTTCTGTCTCCTCATTTATCTGCTTAAAATATATTTGCAGCTGGCTTATAGCCTGCTATTGTACCTGCTCTAAGAGGAGCTCTATTTTTTTTAATCAAAAGGGTGGGTACCCCTCCATTTCTAGTATCAGAAATGTGCAAGTGTATACCAAGATCGTTCATATCTGAAAACAATCCCAGATAACGAATAGGCAAAAGAGGAGCCCTACTGACGGAATGTATACGCGGTGTTTCAAAATGCAAGTTAACAAGTTAATAAACGGATGAGGTTTAAAGTTATTTTGAATTTTAACGAATCTTATCTGAATTTCACCGTGTAGGTAATTGGCAAAACCGCTAGAGAGCGATTTTCTGTGGGCAAATGTTTTTTTTGTAAAAAAAAATCCGGATTCCATGTAGGAGAATATAAAAGATCTGTTGCTTCAGGTTTCATCAAACTTTCAATAGAAGAAAGTACTCCCTCCGTTTCAGGGTCACAGTCAAACTGTTTTAAGTTTAATCAAGTTTATAGAAAAACGTAGTAACATTTTCAACATAAGATAAATTTATTATGAAAACATATTCAATTATTGATTTGATGAAATTATAAATATTACAATATTTTTCTATAAAATCAGTCAAACTTAAAACTGTTTGATATTGATCAAAGTCAAAACGTCAACTTGAAACGGAGGGAGTACGAAGTTTACAACTCGTTCATCGTCCCTGAATGACTCTAAATGAAAGCCCACATGGGCCCATAGTCTGTACGGGAAACAAAGAGAAACTGGAACCGAAGACCATGATGGGCCGGTCCGTACGAGGAGCGCCGAAATACCTCGGGCCGCCGCAAACATGCATTGCTGCCACAAACTGCTATCATGTCCCGAACAGAGGATTTTTACACTTTCGTTTTTCAGATTTGGTTTTCACCTCAAAACGAAATTATACTGATAGTATAGTTTTGCCCAGCCCTGCGTTCCGAAAAGTGAAACACGTTGGCCCAGCAACAAAGAAGAGTTTGAGGAGCCTTTGCACCAAAGAGAGATTGGGATGATGCTCGTGCTGCGTCATGTACACTCATATTGCCTGGTTGGTCCAGGTAGGGAAGCCTAGATAAAATCATAAAAAGGAAGGATGACGACGGCCCGGGCCGGCCGGGACTGCAGCCAGCTAGCCAGCCAACCGTAGCTAGCTCGGTCCCATTCCCATCTCCCTCTCCCTCTCGATCGGCACGGTTCACCTAACCGTCCTGATTCTTCAAGGGAATTTCTCCCGGTCATCGATTATTGCGCTCGAGATTCCCTAGTGCTACTAAATCCGTCTCAAAATAATAAATACAGTTGTGGTATTTTTGTCAAACATTTAACCGTCCATCTTATTTGAAAAATTTATGAAAATATTTAAAAAATTAGTCACAAATAAAGTATTATTCATGTTTTATTATCTAACAACAATAAAAATATTAATTATAATTTTTTTTTAAATAAGACGAATAATCAAACGTTGAATATAAAAAATGTAAAACTACATTTATTTTTGGATGGAGAGAGTAATAGACTCAACCACACCCTCTCCCTGATTTGGCCAATAGTGTACCGGCGATTTATACCAGTGGCCAGCCGGTCGCGTTCCCAGCGGCTTCGACGCCACCACCAGCCAACATGGAAACCACGGCCCGTTCGTGGTCGCGGCGGATGAGACATCTGCTCGGTTTGGTTTTTTTCATCGACCCACACGGCCGCACCGCTAGCTAATAACTCGATTCTCCCCGTTGCTGTTCTGCATCTGCAGTGACACACAATTAGGTGAACTAACAACGTCGCACTTGAAAAAAAAAAAGGTAGGGAAACAAAACCACTTGGCAAAATCTAGCGAAAAAGAGGAGAGGAGGAAGGAACAGGATAGCACAAGTACGGGCACATGTCATAAACCGTACACGATTCGTTCAAAAAAAAAGAAGAAAAAACCGTACACAATCCGAAATCGCATTTCTAGTTGGGTTTCTAGAAGCGCCACCTCCCACATCCCCAGCTCTCCGGGCCCGACACGTGTCCCGCACAACCTACGAAATCAGGCGTACTCGCCACTGACAGGTGGTCCCAGGGCCGTGATGGACCCACCAGTCAGTGACACGGGAGGCGGCCCTTATCTACTACGCGCGCGCGCGAGACCCGGCCATAATACCGCCTTCTGTTGTTAATCGGTTAGCTTCGCGCGCCGCCGCCACCGGCTCAACCCGAGCCACGCGAAAATTCGAAGGAATCCGCGAATAAATCCGAGGAGGAGACCCCAACCCGAGTAGGCGAGGCGAGGCGAGGAGCGGGAGACGTCGTTGGCCATGGAGGACAGAGACCGCGACCACCGCGGCGGCGCCGACGAGGACGCCCCGGGACCAGCCGCCGCCGCCGTCGCAGCTGTGGACGGGGAGGACGAGGTGGAGGATGATGGTGGGGGTTTCTCCTTCCCCGTCCCGCCGTTCGCCGCGGACGCGTTCATCGTGCCCGTGTACCCGGTGTTTGGTCGGCCGATGTCCCCGCCGCCGCGGGAGGCGGTGGTGGAGGAGGAGGAGGAGGATGAGCCGGAGACGGCAACCCTGCGGGTGCCGTTGGGCCGGCTGCTGCTGGAAGAGCGGGAGTTCCGGGCGAGGCAGCGGGAGAGCTCGGGAACGTCGCCGGTGCAGCCGCAGCGGCGGCGGCCGGACGACGAGGGCGAGCTGGAGGGGGTGCCGCCGGAGAGCTACTGCCTCTGGGCTCCGGGCGGGCAGCCGTCGACGACGCCAGCGTCCCCGCGGCGGTGCCGGAAGAGCGGCTCCACGGGGTCGGTGCTCCGGTGGCGCCGCATCAGCGAGCGCCTCGTCCGCCGGAGCCACAGCGACGGCAAGGAGAAGTTCGTGTTCCTCAACGCCCCCGGCGGCGGCGCCCCGTCGCCTCACCCGCCCAAGGACAACGACGATGCAAACGGCGGCGGCAGCGTCGGCAAGGGCGACGCCGGCCGCCACGGCTGGAGCTATTACAGCAAGGGCGGCGGCGGCGGCAGCGGCGGCCGTCGGAGATCGTATCTTCCCTACAAGCAAGAGCTCGTCGGGTTGTTCGCCAACGTCAGTGGGTTGCGGCGGAGCTATCACCCGTTTTAAATTCGATCCTTTCCTCCTCTCTCTCTCCCTCTTCGTGTTCGTCCTCTCCTGTGCATATAGCTAGATACTCTCAGTATAATTCGTAGTGATAGAATAAAATCGGCGTGTTGACAAATTGTAAATTGTAATTAGCTCGTGTAAAGTAAAATGGTCCTACGGCTACGTGAGTAAGCATCTCCCAAACATGGAGATTGAAATCTTATCTTATCTATAAAAAGAAAAAAAGTATTGATGAAGCATATGGTTAGCATTTGTTTGTTCTTTGTTTACATGTTTAGTAGTTACTTCAGAATTGATGCAAACAGAGAGGAAGAGTTCAGGATGGGTTTTCTGTTTTGTCGGCTGTGGCTGCTTAATTTTTTTTTGGTTCATCTCTATCTCAGATAGACCGGATTTCTGTACGCTTAGTATTAAACCGACCAACACCATTAATTATTGATTAGAGGATTTTGTTTCGTGGCGGCTTGAATTAGTACTAGATTTTTAGTTGTTTGTCAACGTGTCATCATTTGTTCTTTGATTAAGAGGTTGTGTGCGAGGCAGGATCAGCGGCGACAGTTGATTTTCAATACAACGATTTCGCGTACGTAGTGAAGTAACCCGGCATGGGGCAATTTAGTTTGTCATCAATGCTTCATGTGAATTTAGCGAAAGCTATCTGCCTACCTGTCACGACGTGAACGTACGCTATTGATCGTTTCAAAGCTCTCACCTAAATTCTCTATCCGTGCGTGTGAGCTTTGTCACTAAAAGTCTTAAAACTATATTTATTCGTGGGGATATTCCACAATTAGCACTGGGTGAATGGTTTGTCGTGTTGGCGATAGTTACCACTGCTACTAAACTACTACAGTACCTATTTCTTTTCATGGTAAAGAGACTGTGCCATTTCGATAAGCAAGAATCTGCTTACCAATACGAGCATCTCCCTGACGCACACCTCCTTCCTTTTCTCCCTTTTCTTTTTCTTTTTTTTAGCCACTTACTATTTCTATTTGCTTCTTGAGTGGCAACTTTTACCCGTGCAGATTACACAGCAAAAACTAGCAAAAGCCTTGTTACGTGTTACGCCCCAATCTCGATCGATCTCCAAACTTTCCCCCGGTTTTTTTTTTGTGTGGAACCGGTGGTTTGGTGTCCATCTCCCGTTTCGTTGTCGCACCCACAGCGCCCATCCACCGTGGTGCGTGGCACCATCCGTCAAGTTGGCTGCGAGGGACGAAGATTTGCGAGTTTGCGACGACGGGGAAAGGGCTCCCCGAGCGCGACAGCTACTCCTCCGCTAACCAAACCCAACCACGCACACACGGGCACACTACTCGCTCTAGTTTTAGACACAACTTTAAAAGTTATGACGAGAACAAAAAGATCTAATACATACTACCTATCGAAATCTAAAGTCAATGGTTATATAAATTTGTACCAACTTTGAATGAAGGTTACAAATGGATTTGAATAAATGTATCTTTGCATCGTGAGTTACTGGATTATATGTGATCTCTGTTCAGCGAATCGTGTAATAAGTTGTTGCAGTATCGCTGAAGCAAAGATCAGGATTTATTTTATTATTGAAAAAGAATCTCCGAGTACGCCTAGATTTTAGTCTTTTTTGTCCAACCGCGATCAGTAGCCACGTTCATGTCATCGTGTGAGTTGCGTTTCGGGGTAAATCGATCAGGTCGGCGAATGCAGTGTCGTCCACTTATTATTATCCTCTCCCTTGTCGAGCCGGTGAGTGATGAGTGAGCCATTAGCGTCTTGTTTGCTGCCTAGCTTAGCTAGAACGCACGAAACGAAAGAGCCACGGCCACGGCACGCGTGGGCAGGGGGCCTCGCTAGTGCGGTGGGCTCACGCCGTCACGCGCGCCGTTCAAAAGCGAGGGGGAACAAGGCGGCGACAAGGGGGAACGCGCCGACGTCGCGTCCGACGCCGACGCCAAGTGATGGCTCTAACCTTACCAAGAGTGCTGGTCTTTAATTCTTTTAGAGAAGTGTCGGTACAAAGGCCAGAAGTTGTAAGACAATTCATCACTGCTTTTCTTCTCTCTCCCAGTTACACTTCATTCTTACAAATACCATATTACTGTACCATCATCAAAGCTCAGTTGATACCATGGATTAGTAATACCCACCCAACCCATCCAAACGATGAGCAGATATTGCCGTATTGCCTGGACGATTATGGCATTTGTTTTTTTTTACTTGCATATTTTGGCAGCACGCAGGGAGTACATGGAGAGTTTGAGGCTGAATTACATTGTTCAGGGAGCGGAACGCAGGTCAACAATCTCGAACCTCAAATTTGGGTTGAATATAACCTTGGAGCAGGTTTCATAGATTGGGCCGCCGTCCGTTGTCTCCCGGTGGGCGTGGAACCCACTTTCACTGCACTCCCTAAGCACACCCATCCCTCCTGGGTCTGTCAGCCTGAATATTCCACAGTTCCTAAAGGATTTGAGAGCATATGCATTTCACTGTAAGTGATAATAAATTGGCAGGGGGCACCACCAAAAGCAAAAGGAATAATAAATTGAAACTGTACAACCGTCCATAGAATACTTGCCTAGTAGGATCAGTGGGAGCAATCACAATCGCAACGGCCTCTGGTAACATAACCTGAAGAAATCCAGCACTTTATGTCTACCAGAATTAGAGGAATGGCAAAGCAAACCAAAATTTCTTTCTGATAAAGTCGTCCTGAGCTAGTAGATTAATAATTGCAGTAGTGGCTAGTAATTCCTAGCTAGATTAGAATACAGCCAAAAGCACAAAAGATTTGGTCGTGCTTTCACCAACTGAATTAACTTCGTTTACATGTCTTACTGCAGGCAAAGTTTTAATGCAAATAAGGAACCTAAGGCCTTTTTAAATGATAATAATGCATACCTTTGATTATTTTATTCTATAAGCCTAACTACAACTGCTCAACTAAGGATAGCACCATAGATAGTGTATGCAGATGTCAGGGTGGTGTGTTAAGTCTTGTTATGTTTTCTCTTGAGCTTTGGTGCCATTTTATTCATGTGATTCCATGACTCCATAGCCCCCTACGATAGCTTGCTAAACAAACTTCACACCAATAGAAATCCTTTTTGTCAGATGAGGCGCACAACACTGATATGAGAGCACTTAAAGATCATGAACAGTAATATATTCAGAGTTTGCAGCTTTCGTTCTAGAATCGGACTATGTACATTAAAATCACAAGATCTATAATAGGAAAAAATTGATGCATATCAGTGCATCAAAGTATTATACCATCCTTTATAAATTGATAAGAGCTGAACTTTCTATTGATACACCATTTATTTTGAGACAAAACATTATTATCTGTCATATAATTACCTGGTAGGAGTATTGAGTGTGCAGATCAATTGATGATAAGAAACACGTTTGTGAAGGGTGTGTCTGGAAAAGATAATGAAAAAAATCAATCTGTGAGCTGCTAACTAAAATAACCATTATATATGAACATATCAAGAAGGTCATGCATGGGTTCCATTTTAAGTTGGATTTGATAATATGAAAGTTCCAAGGATATCAAGACAAAAGGGTAAATAATGGTTGCGAGTGTTACATGTATCCACCCTGCAGGGTAAAGTGATTGCTCCGATAAAATAGCATGTATCTCCTCCTCACTGACAGCCTGGCACTGCATTTGGGAAGATAAACCACCGCTTCAGAGCGTGACAACCAGATATGCGTGCACAAAATATGTAAAAATGGCTATGATGTATTAATATTTAATAATGTATCTATGTTTCAAAACAGTTTAATTTCTGACGTACAGAATGAGCAGTTGCTTCTTGCTTTGGTATGATCAACATAGTCACATAGTAAGTCCCATCTCTCTGCAAAGAAGCATTGAAGATCACAATGCAAATCCAAAAATAGGTATGATTATCATATTGGCAAACCATTTTGTGAAGCGAACCTACAAATTCATCTAAAAGGGACTTACAAATGAAGCACCTAGGATTCCACAAGTCTCTACATTGTTGCCTGTATTCTCCTTTGCAAGTTCGATGAATTCATCTGTCAATCTAACTGACTGAAGAACATGCATAAAACAGTTATTTCATCTTAAACTCCAGTTTCTTCGTAGTGACATCACAAATCGAGACAAAGGGATGATAATGGAAGCAGAACGTACTATCTGCATGTCATGCAAATTGACAGATGCTGAAGACTGCCCCACTGAAGATCTTGATTGCTCATCAGCATATTCAGGATCCTGGCTAAAAGAAACATTGCCGAAGCTCGAAAGGTCTTCTATCCAAGAAACAATAGGAGATGGGTAATGGTGCTTCACAGAGTAGGAACCGGTATTGCGATCTCTTGCTGGTCTACAATTAACTTGATAGTGGACAACCTTTTGTTCATTGGTATCGATTTTATCCACATAATATGGTTTACTTGGCGTTGGATGCGTCCCACATTTATTTGCATTGATTTCAACTCTGCCATTTAGCACTGAATATATCATGATGGCATAATATTAAATACAACCACACAAGGAAGATGCACATGAGGCCAGTATTGTATACCTCCTGCCACCCATGGCTAGGTCTTGGCACCAGACTTCGACCTGCAGATCAGATCATCTCAAACGAATATAAACGCACAAAATCAAATACAAGAGGGATTTCTTTGAAAAGGAAGTCGAATCAGCCGATTTATTTCCAAAAGGCATGCTATCCATTGGGACATAAACTGAAAGCTGATGAAGAACATCAGTGGCGGGAGTTTCATGAGCTGCTCAACAACTCCAGAATGGTTCGGTTTCAACCACAGCTTAAGCAAACCAACAAAAACGTGGCATCTTATCATTAATCCTATAAACAAATGACACATAATACCACTACAAACTGATACCACTGCATCACCAGCCTTGCAAGGATACCTTATTGCTTCAGAAAGCTAAAACTATCCCGGACTAGATTAATCCACGTGACTGCTCCTTGCCACCTACTAACTACCAAGACAGCACGAAACCACCCAGCGGCAGCAGCAACACAGAGCGAGCTATACCGACGATTCCTCTCTCAACCCGACATGAACCTGCCAGCGGAATACCACCGGAAAAACCGATTCCCCAACGATCGATACCTTTTGAGAGGGAGAGAGGCTCACCTTGAGAAATCCGGAACAGCAGCTGGACAACCTCACTGGAGTTCGCTCGGGCCAAGGATTGGAGAAGGGACGCGGGAGAGAGAGGGAGGGGAAAGGCGAGCGCGCGCGCGCTGTTCTTACCGCAAGCGCAAAGGACGCGAACCCGAATCCGCGGCGCCGTCTATAGAATTTCACGCCCCCACACACGCACACGCGTCGTCACGCTGGCCGGGCTCGTGCGTGACAAGCGGGTGGGCGAAGCGATTGAGAGAGAGGAGAATTCAAGATAGGGACGAAAAGCAAGTCGAGGTGTCGAAGGGGGGAAGCACAAGAAAGCGGGAAGCGGGCGTCACGCTCGCGGCGGGGCGCGGCCGGCGTGGGGTTGCGTGCCGGTGCGTGGGAGCGACGCGCGCGGTGGTGTGGTGGCGCCGCGTGGGGCGGCGGAAAAATGCGGTGGATTCGTCTCGTCTCGTCTCGGCTCGGGGAATCAATCGAGAGGCGGGTGGATGCCTGATGACGTGAGAGCACGGGACGGACGGCTGAGAGTGGGAAGTGAAAAAAAAGAAGGGGGCAAAAGAAAGCATGTCGGCTGTCCTAGCCGTACAAGAAATTCTTTGTAGATAAGCTACGGTGACGAGGCAGTTTCTTGTTCTATGGGTGTGTTTAGTTCGGAAAACAGAAACAACTTGGTGTGTTTAGTTCACACTAAAATTAAAAGTTTAGTTAAAATTAAAACGATATGACAGAAAAGTGGAAAGTTATGTCTAAGAAAATTTTGATGTGATGAAAAAGTTAGAAGTTTGAAGAAATAGTTTAGAACTTACAAGGGTACGGAAGTTTAAGCTCGAACCTTTTCTACACCTGTTGCACTTGTCATCCCGGATTGAGAAGGCGATAGTCTGCGACTTGCGAGGCATATGTGGCTAAATTCTCCCAACGTCACGCATAGGTCACTTAAAGATGGGAGCTAAATTATCATTTGAGAAGTACTAGTTCAGCTGATATGTTAGTTTATACAGATGGGGAATTTCACACGCCATATATCTGAGAAATTCAATATCACCCACCAATCATCTTCCAGCAGATCAGCAAGTAACCTTGTGCAAATCCCAGGACATCTTACAAACCAGCGTATCACGTATGATTGGAACAAAACTCTCTATGAAGTTTCATAAGCGGAATCATCCAGTTAACTTCATATATAAGACATCAAAACGCATCAACTTCTTTCATGTACCTGCTTATGTGTACATTCTTCTACCGCTCCCTGTTGAGATAACACGATTATAGTGCCGTTTCTCCGGTTTGCAGAATCATAGCTGACGTCTAACCAGTAATTCCTTTAAGATTCATTAGTACTGCCAGTCGGTTCTCCCTACACTGACTAGAGAACAGTGTACCCACAAAATAATAATGATAAGGAAAAATGAGCATAAAGGTGTAGATTAGAGGTAGTAGTCCTACGCTATACATGACAACATATTTTTGTATAACATGATGTGAAGGCTACATAATTTGTGGGCTATGGCTAATAATCAAGAGAGACAATAACAGATAAGGAAGAATGCTCGTAAGGGACCTAGGAATCCAGATCTAGCTAACATGACAAAGGAAGCTGTCATATCAACCTCAAAGTTGGTGGTTGCATGATAGTAACAAATAAATGGGAAATCGAACAACAGAACAAAGTATGCTTTCATCTTAGTAGGGACCTGAGGGCAGCTGCAGAATGCAGAGAGCCCAAGGTAAAACTGACCGCAGCTTAAGTTTTTGTTTAAGGTAAATATATACGCTCATAGAAACATAAATGGGAATGAATATTTAAAATTAAGTAACAAAAAATGATAGGACCCCATGTTATACTTGTTAATATTTAAAGCAAAATGGGAACCACAAATTCAAACTTTTACCCAAGACAAAAAAAAAAGTTTGCTTACCATCAAGATAGTCTCTCCAAGAGACTTTCCACCATACTTCGTTGCCCTATGCCACTCAAAGATTCTGATTTTATAATCGCATTTGATACAACAATGACATTACTTGGAGAAGGTGCATTAACCTACAAGGACATTAGCGATTTATATTTTTTCCAAAGAAACAAAGATAAAGAGGATACATAAAAGAGTGATATAATCAAGACATATACCCACACTCGGCCATTCAGGCCAACAGCAATCTCAAATGAAAGTTTTTTTCCAAGGGCCTCTAGAATTGGACATGTTGGAGAACTTAACAACCTACAAGCAACAATTTACAAAATATAAGAAAATAATGCAACTGCATTGAAGAATGCTAGTATGTAATGTCCTCACATCCGCGACAGGCCAGTAGACGTGTCAAACATATAGCCATCTTTTAGTTGACCAAATTCGGCTGCTTTCCCAGTAGCTGTAAAATACAAGCCACAGCAATATATTCATATTGAAGTAACAGAACTAATGCAATAATTAGACAAATTCAAACATAACAGTATAGCCTGAAATGGTGTCATTATGTAAGGTCAAATATTATCATATAGAAAGGAGTGACAGAATAACAAAAGACGTACTTGAGTACTTCTAATGGATTAGTATAAAATAGAAAATCCCAATGCTGAGTTGTAAGATAATAGTTTTACCATCCATGCACGAGAGCTCTGGGTTCATGATGCTATTTGCTTTCACCACTCGTGCATATATTAATGTACCAATCTGCAGGAGAATATCATGGGGTAAGGCACAGATTGGGCCTGCTGTACATGCCTCTTTAGTACAAAGACAAAGGAGGATGAAAAGCAACAAATCAGTGAGTTGCTGATCAAAATGAAAGATAGGTGTTTTACAAACAACATATCACTTTGTTGAAGTTATAGATCTAAGCCCATGTTACTGCATAGAACATCAGAAAATATTGGCTATATAACTCTAGGCAGTAGCAGTTTAAAACAAGGAGAAACCTGACATTTGCATTGTGCAAGAACACAATTATTCAATGAAATAAACAATATTCTCCTATACATCATAACAGACTGAGTTCACCATTATTTTCTGAAACTAAGATGATAGCTATTCAAACTAAGATAATTTCAAGTATATCTACTAACACAAAATCATGGTATATAGACCACCTAAAGTAAGAAAAATGTTCTCAAAGCTGGCAATCAATAAAAGCAGGATACCACAGTGAACTTCATGACAAAAACCTATGAAAGAATTGAGTTGGGGAAACAAAATCAACAACCATTGATGAATGATGATGACCCATTAGTCACTGCCATACCTCGAACTTTGGAATATTTCTCCTGGTACCACCTTCAAATGCAAGAACTGGTAAAAAGGCCAAATTAGGACCTTTTATATCCACCAAGAAGTTCTGTAATGACAGAATCCAGCTCAGCAAAGAGGTAAGAATATATCATATGAGGTGCATCGTGATGCCTCATTTAATGACAAAACTAAAAGCAAGATTTTAGACAGTTAGTGGAAGTCCATATCAGTTCATGTAGTATATTTGAAATGTACAGAACAGTGATTGTATCAAAACAATTAGGTCCACATACTAAAAAATGCACCATATAGAAGAATTAATTTACATAAATATACATAAATGTACTTACATCTGGTTTGGTGTCAACCACAACACCAAGAACTGTATCTTCTACAGAAGGTATATACTGCAAAAGAAATAAGAATAAAAGCCAGTGAACAGGCTAAGCGCTGAAGGACAAAGAGAGTAAAGAACTATGTGAAATCCCCATTCTACCTTTGAGAAGATATAAAGGCTAAAAACATGGCAAGCATAACCCATTCCACATGGGAAACAAATCATAACATTAAACTGGAAATAAACTCAGGATGGCACACGCATATGCCATCTACCTAACCAATTTGCATACTGTGTCAAAGGTAATATAGTGGGAATAGCAACATAATTATCTTTCTGTTCAATCATGAAACATTAAGGAAGGGGCAAACAACCTTCTGCCGCACTAAGAAAAGCAATACATGGGCATAAAGCAGCACGCCATACAGACACAGTGAGCGTATTTGATCAATTCACATTCTCATTAGTCCTTATAACGATCCATGGACCCCTATATACCTCTCAAGCAGACAAAGTTGACACACATGAGGTAAACATTTTTTTTTCCATTGTGTTATATATGAGATCAAACAGGAGCGCTCACCCTCTTCTGCGAGCTCTCGACCCAGTATTTGCTGGGCTTCGAAAGCCGTAGCCTCCCAGCACTGGTAGCCTGTATGGTGTCGCAATCCTGCAAACACCGGGGAGCACTCATAAGCATAACAATAAACCCTTGATTAAACCCTAATCCCTAACAATCTCTCACAAAGCCCCACTTGCCACCACGAAACGAAGTTACCTGTCGCAGGCCGGCGCCGAGCTTGATGGTCTGGTTGGTCATCTCGGCGAGGTCGAGGACGACGTCCCCGGGGACCTGGGAGGCGACGGTGATGCGAGTGAGCGAGCCCAACTCCGCAGGGATAGCGAGTCGGAGGTCGGGGTAAGGTAAGAGGGCTTGGGACGCGTACCACGTGGTTGTCGACGAGGGCGGAGGGCGGCGGCTTCCTCGATTCCATTGCACGGCGGCGGCGGCGGCGCGCGGGTGGGCGGGTGCGGTGGAGACTGGAGCGGAAGAGCGGAACGGACGAACGGTGAACGCGGCGGCGGCGCTTCGGTGCGGGCGTCTGCTTGCCTGAGAGTGCTTGCTGTGGAGGAGATGGGCCTAGGGTAAGTTGGAACACATGCTATGGGCTTGGCAGGTGATGAGTTTGGCAGGAGATGGGCCTAGTGATGAGTTTGGGCTGGGCTAATGTTGTTCACTTGCAGCCCACTATTTGGACCACTGAGAGGACAGAATAATCTATTATATTATTAAAAAAATAAAAAAAGAGCCTCCACGTTCTCATGGCCTAGAAATTCTCACATTAATCGAAGAAAAAGAAAAAGCAAAGTCCATATAGAAATACAATTTAGAAATAGTTGAAATTCGGAATTAAAAAATAAAAAATATTAGAAGAGGAGACTAGAGTCCATATAGAAATACAATTTAGAAATAGCTGAAATTTGGAATTAAAAAAAGGAATATTAGAAGAGGAGGCTAGAGTCCATATAGAAATACAATTAGGAAATAACTGAAATTCAGAATTAAAAATAAGGAATATTAGAAGTAGAGTATAGAGTCCATAGAAATACAATTAGGAAATAACTGAAATTTGGAATTAAAAATAATGAATATTAAAAGTAGAGTATAGAGTCCATATAGAAATACAATTAGGAAATAATAGAAATTTGAAATTAAAAATAAGGAATATTAGAAGTAGAGTATAGAGTCTATGTAGAAATACAATTAAGAAAAAAAATAGAAATTCAGAATTAAAAAAATAAGAAATATTAGAAATAGAGTACAGAGTCATATAGGAATTTAAAACTAACTAAAATTTGGAATAAACATAATAAAATTAAAAGTAGAGTTTAGACTCCGTATAAAAATACAATTTACAAATAACTAAAATTCAAAATTAAGAAAAACATGGGAAGAAGAGTTTAAGGTCAATATGAGAATATAAATATATGGATACATTTTAGAACTAACTAAAATTCGAAATTAAAAATTAAAGAATATTGAAAGATAAGTTTAGAGTCCACGTAGAAATACAATTAGAAATAATAAAAATTCAGAAATAAAAATAAATAATATTGGAAGAAGAGCATAGAGTCTATATAGAAATACAAAAAATTCGAAATTAAAAAAAAAGAAATATTAAAAGACGAGTCTAGAGTCCATATATGTCGGTGACATGGGACCGGGAGTATCATGACTCGAGGCTTGAGGCAGACACAATCGCCCACGTGGCCTGGCACCCTCGGGGACGTCGGGCCCGAGGGTGATGTGTGCGCCCACCTCTTGGTCTTCCCGAGGGGGGGGGGGGGTCGGACCACTCCAGCCTCGCCCCCGAGGGGCGAGGCGCCCCGACCCCTCGCGTTTTCTACTCCACGTGTATGGGTTAGGTGAGCACAGCAGGGCTCACCTAACCGCATTTATTGCGCCTCGGCTAAGCGTGTCACGCCGCACGAAGTGCAGTGCAGTGCACTCGATTATCCGGTCTGTGACCAGTCACAGACCGGTCAAATCGCGGGTTAGGTGGCGACAGGCGGTCAGACGCATGCTTCGCCCCATCCTGTCTAGACGAGAGCTTCTAGGCACTCGTCCCCGGCTGGAGCTAGCGTGTTACATCCCAGAGATGACACGTTAGCCCCGATCGATATATGCCAGGCTTCATCCTAACCATTACAAGCAAGATGTTGTTTGAAGAAGGGCAAACATGCACGTTGCTGAGCCGACGTGTGGTGGACAAGAATGACCGATTTGTGACCGGTCTGACACTGCTCATGTCGTCAGCACACAGCCACCTTCCCACGACGTGCCCGCCTCAGGCAGAAGTGGAGGTAGGTATGTGCCGTCCCGTCAGGAGGATGTTCGGAGGACGACCGTGCAAATCTCCGTCCATTTATGAAAAGAGAAAAAGTCCAGTTTGGAAAGGGAGGGGTGCATGTGGTATCCCCTTGAAGTATAAAAGGAGGACCTTGCCCATAGAGAAAGAGGTTGATTCTTTCCAGATTCAGAGCCTAGAACGAGGGAGAGGTCGGCTCACACTTTGTAGCTCCTTCATACACAGATCCACCAAAACACAGGAGTAGGGTATTACGCTTCTCAGCGGCCCGAACCTGTATACATCGCCCGTGTCTCGCGTTTCTTCCTAGCTGGCGATCTTTCCACATACCGAGAGAGCTTGAGATTTCACCCTAAGCCCCCGGCCGAACCGGCAAAGGGGGGCCTGTGCGGTCTCCCGGTGAGGAGCCACGAGCTCCGTCATCTGGCGCGCCAGGTAGGGGGCTCAGCGTGTGTTTTCTGAGCTCTCGTACTCCTCCGTGGGCGCCAAGCTTTTCTTGTTCAGCCTAATGGCCGAGCAAGCAAAGGTGCACGACCTCTCTCCGAGTGTGAGCGGCGACGACGGGGAGCCGAATCCACGCCGTCGAGCTCGTACTCCACCGCCCCCTCCTCGCCAAAGTCCTAAGCAGGGGGAGGCGCTCGAAAGGGTCGAAAGATCCGCGGCTTCACCGATCGCGGGCGATGGAGGAGAACGGCGAGATGGGGAGCGTCGCCTCCTCGTCTACGGCGACGGCAGCACGCCCCAGGGCGCGCTCCAAGCTGCGGGCGCGCTCTTACGTCACCCGCCTGTCGTCCCTGACCCGGAATCTCCAGCCCAACGATGGCTGGACGACGTGGCCAAATTGGTCATGACGGCGCGGCAGCGCCTAGATGCTGGTGGGCGGTCCTCCGCCACCAAGACCTCTGGTGCTGCTACCACTGGCTCCGCGTCGTCAAGACGAAGGGCACGACGAGCAGCAGCCGCTGTTCGCCGTTCGGTAGCCACTCCCTCATCGACTCCTTCGACCCGAGAAGATCTGCGTAGGGAGCAGGGCGCCCGCGCCAGCCTCGAGCGCCGGCGTAATGACCGAAGTACTCCCCGCGCAACGGAGGGCGCCTCTTCGTCCAGAGTATCACCTCGACATGGACGTGAGGACCAGCCCTCCGTGCCCCCGGCTGGTGGTATCGGCTGTAGAGCCTTTGTGGCGAGTCTTCGGAATGTCCGTTGGCCCCTAAGGTTCCGTCCCACCATCACCGAGAAGTATGATGGGAGTGTCAACCCCACCGAGTTTCTCCAGGTCTACACGACCGGGATTGAGGCCGCCGGGGGTGACGACAGGGTCATGGCGAATTTCTTTCCCATGGCCCTGAAGGGGCAAGCACGGGGTTGGCTAATGAACTTGCCACCCGCGTCTGTCCACTCCTGGGAGGATTTGTGCCAGCAGTTCACCATGAACTTCCAAGGCACGTATCCGCGCCCCGGTGAGGAAGCGGACTTGCACGCTGTACAGCGAAGGGACGATGAGTCGCTTCGATCGTACATTCAGCGGTTTTGTCAAGTCCGCAATACCATACCATGCATCCCTGCACACGCAGTAATCTACGCGTTCAGGGGGGGTGTGCGGCACAACCGCATGCTCGAAAAGATCGCCTCCAAAGAGCCCCAGACTACCGCAGAGCTTTTTCAGCTCGCGGACCGAGTGGCTCGCAAGGAGGAGGCCTGGACTTGGAACCCCTCCGGTTCCGGAGTGGCAGCTTCGGCCGCCCCCGGATCCGCCGCTCAGTCAGGGCGGCGTGATAGGAGAAGGAAGAAGAGGTCAGTCCGTTCCGACGACGAGGGTCATGTCCTCGCCGTCGAGGGCGCTTCACGGGCCACCCGAAAGGGGAGGCCTGCGAGCGACAAAAAGAAGGAGGCCAGCGTTCCCAGCAGGGAGCGCCCTACCGGCAAGTGGTGCACCGTCCACAACACCTCCCTCCATGACCTTGCGGACTGTCGCGCAGTCAAAAGCTTGGCTGAGCGGACAAGGAAGTGGGAGGAGGAGAGGAGGCAGGAGCGCCGGGAAGGCAAGTCCCCGGCGGTTCCTTCCGGCCGTCGGCGAAGTGAGGCCAAGCAGAAGGCCCCCGCCGAGGACATCGATGATGGCGATAATGACCTAGGTTTCCAAGAGCCTGGGGCTACCATAGCCACTGTCGATGGAGGAGCGTGTGCGCACGTTTCTCGCCGGAGCCTCAAGGCCATGAAGCGAGAGCTTCTGGCCGTTGCCCCTACTCATGAGGCGACGCGCCGGGCGCGGTGGTTGGAAGTTGCCCTCACTTTTGACCAGTCCGACCACCCGCCGTGCGTTGCCCGGGGAGGGCAGATTGCGATGGTGGTTTCTCCCACCGTTTGCAACGTGAAGTTGGGGCGTGTCCTCATTGATGGAGGAGCAGCCCTCAACATCCTTTCCCCCGCAGCCTTTGATGCCATCAAGGCCCCGGGGATGATGCTCCGGCCGTCCCAGCCAATCATCGGCGTGACGCCGGGGCACACTTGGCCGCTAGGTCATATCGACCTCCCGGTCACCTTTGGTGGACCCGCCAATTTCCGCACGGAGCGGGTGAACTTCGATGTGGCGGACCTCAGTCTGCCCTACAACGCGGTCCTGGGGAGGCCCGCGTTGGTGAAGTTCATGGCGGCTGTCCACTACGCCTACCTCCAGATGAAGATGCCGGGCCCCGACGGCCCCATCTCTGTCCATGGCGACCTCAAAGTCGCGCTCGCTTGTATGGAGCAGCGTGCGGACCGCCTCGCCGTCGTGTCCAAGCCCGAGGGCGGCGACGAGAGGCTTGACACATCCGCCCCCGCCGCCCCGAAGCAGCGGATAGTCACGTCTGATGAGGTCCCGGTCAAGGAGGTCACACTGGGCGACGGCCCGTCCAAGACCACACGGATCGGTGGTCTTTTGGACGGCAAATAGGAAGACGCGCTCGTCTCCTTCCTGCGGGCAAACGCTGACGTCTTCGCATGGAGACCGGCGGATATGCCCGGGGTCCCCAGGGAGGTGATTGAGCACCGTCTCGCCGTGCGGCCGGGTGCAAGGCCGGTCCGGCAGAAAGTGCGGCGGCAGGCCCCGGAACGTCAAGCCTTCATCCGCGAGGAGGTGGCGCGACTTCTGGAGGCCGGATTCATCCGCGAGGTCATCCACCCGGAGTGGCTGGCGAACCCGGTGGTCGTTCCCAAGGCGAACGGCAAGCTTCGGATGTGCATCGACTACACCGACCTTAACAAGGCATGTCCTAAGGAT